AAGAACTTTTATTAACCAAAGTGTGGTCTTTCTCAGAAGTTTCAGGATTATTCTCAACTTCATCCGCGCACGCTCATCTTGCCCATAATCCCTACCGAAATATAAAGCCATGTCTATCTTATTCATGTTCACGTCGTAATAATTCACGCTGAATCTAATTCAACTCGGATTAACTTACAGTCAACTATCTGCTCTCGGAATTCAATTATTCAAATAGTAGTCTCCATGTTTCCTGCTCGCGATGCAATAAGAAAGGTCCAATGCTCGTACCACTGAGGCGATAGATCGGTTTTGAACTTAAAATTTGAAACAGGATGATGATTCTTGGAGTGACGTGATTGAATTTGTACAAAATAAATGAAATACCCTTTCCAGCTGTCAAATCCTCAAAAGTTTAGAGCATATTGGAATTTCCAGACACCCAGCATTACACAGTAATGTTCGTTTAAATTGCATTAAGAAATGAAATTTTGGTAAGAGCTGAAAAGAGCAAATCAAGCGGAGTAAGGAAATCTTCGTATAAAGTGAGCCAGGTGCAAAGCACGTTTATTTGAAACCGAGAGGATTCACGTAAGTCAAGCTAAGCCGTATCGTTCGGATAAGACAGGTGTCTGAACAGGGGCTGAGCAAATCAGATTAATTCGTAGGAGTTTCCGTGTAAAAAAAGAGGAATCGAAATTAGAAGGAAACGGGAGATGTCTAACGATAAGACAGGACGGCGAATTAAAAGGTATCGGGAAAAGTTCGGGAAACTCGATGGACTCGGTAGTGCGAAAGGCACGTCCAATAACGTTTAACTAAATGAGAAGAAAGTAGAAGTCTGTGTCTTTCGTTTCTCTTACCTGATGTTTTATTGGTTTTTACGTTGTTTGCAACAATCATGCCTAAGATATAGATAAAGATAATTTTCAAGCTCGTAGAGCGTCCTTTAAAGGTAAAATTAAATATGCACAGCCAGACCTGATTTTTAATTAAACCGACAGAAAACTTTATTACGAACCATAATGAGAATCTGCTTCCATGGTATTGAAATTCCTAAGAGTATCTAGTCTTTAATTTGTTAATTTTATCTTCTGTCCTATATTAAAATAAATGCCAATAAGTATTGTACCTAAAAACTTTAAACTATATTGGTGTAACTAAATTTGTTAGAGTCGATTGGAGTCAACAGGGATTCATTAAAACGTTTCCTTAGGCCAATTTTTGACGAAAGTTTACACAAGACGAGACGAATTTGCTTCAGGTTTATCAGAGATTCGGGACAACAAGGTTGAACGTAATCAAAGCTAGTTCCGGAAGTACGTAGACGATGGTTGGTCTGACAGAAGGTTGCCGAAATGGTTTCAGATGAATCTGGGTGGGTCAGAATGGCTCGAGGCGTATCCGGTCAAGTCAACGAGGGTCTAAGCTGATAACGGACATTTATACAAGTTACACCTGACCGTCCTCTTCGATAAATAAAACGCGTACCCGAATATTTATATGAAGAGATGAAAGATAACAATCATCGGACAAGGTAAAGCAATCGCTAAAATTAATAAAGCTTGATAATTGATTAGAACCTCAGAGAAGAAAACTTGAAGAGTTATAAATTGGTTTTCTAGAGATAAACGACTATTTTGCTGATACATAATAATTGATAACACTAGAGTTGAATTGTGGAATGAATTTCAAATGCGAAAATTTTCAAAACATCAATATTCACAGATTTGCATATACAGCTTTTAAAAGAGTAGAACTGTCTAGAATCTAGTGATATGGAAAACTAAACGAGAACGAATAAATTTCGGTCATAGTGAAAAAGTGATCAGTCACACGAGCTGAAATGTTTCGGTAATAATTGTACTACAAACAAGTGAACGCGTTATGAAAAAAATACGTCGAAATATATGTACTTATTCGAAAGCAATTTGAACTCAATCTATCTCGCCAGTATCAAAGGACATATTTTAATTCATCACACACGATCATATCTTTAATTCCTATCCAGAAGAATAGTATGCCAAGATGATGGAATGTCCAAGAACAATCAAATTCTAATCGAATCGATGAGCACCAATACCCTATTCACCAACTACTCCTGTGTATGCTACAATTAATCGATTCAAACTAAACTCTCCATTACACAATACAACGTTGATTACCGGAGTCGCAAATCAAATAGCCCCTCTTCAAATCCACTGGATCCTCTCGAATAATTGTTCATCATTTAAGTTGGCGACTAGCGAAACAAGTCTTAAGCGGATACATGCTTGAGCGAGTTAAATTGTCGACGAACTTCCATAGTCCGGGTACAATTGAAACGCAACGAGATTTTGTTGAATGTTGTGCAAGGGGGATGAAAACGAAGCTTACGTCTTTCGAAAACCAATCAAACTCGAAATTCCTTCTCGTTATGAGAAACAATCTGTGTCTACGTGTCGTCGAATGACTTGCACGAGACGCACCACCGCTTTCGTGGTTAAAAGAAGAAGGATCTCGCTACCAGAAATTTAGTTTTTACGCTACGTGCCAGTCCGCACAATTTGCCTAACCACAGTTTCGAGCTCAGCTCTCTTTGTACAGTGAAATGAGTTAATTTCCTGAACAGAAGCGTCGGCTGGAAAATTGCAATTCCTTCTTCAACATCACATAGTCTCAGGTTAAATTGAAACAGGATACCATTTTTTCAGACTGTTTCCGTCTTTTCGATTGTTTCCTATATAGTATTATATCGATGAAAACCACACGCAGGAACACCGTTTTAAATCAAGTCTTGTTTAAGGGAATTAACATAGGTATATGAGAATCCCTGACACGCATTTTGTATTCCCATCTACAATATTCACAAGAGCCCTGGAATTTCCCATTGGAACCGTCGGATAATGCGTAGAGCCTTCGCGACGGGAAACTAAATCAGCGTAACAGTTCTACTTATCTACATGGAAATTGAAACGTATAGTGTGTTCCCGTTCTGTTTCCCGTGAAACAGTAGTGCCGGCACACGCGCTTATACCACCGACCACAGTATCGATATTTCTTCGTGACGTTCTAGCGGCGAGTTCCTGCTGCAATTTTCATTAAACGCGTGACGCGAAATATATTGCCTGCGTGAAGATAGGTCTTCCAACTATACCTCGTATTGTTTGTATCCATTAAAGTTCGGTAATTCCGCGACATTTTCAATGATCGTGGCATTTTTACTCGTTGACTTCCCCATTCTCGTAAACGTACGATCTCGCCGAGGAATTATTGTAGCAATCCGTATTTATCACGTGTACTTGCGCCCACTTCGCTCTTCCCATTCGCATCGCTTGTAAAATATTAGCGTCTTAATTAACTTAATACCTACCGCTGCTTTCCATGCAAAGCAAGCACCTACTTTGCTTGAGTTTGACTTCAATATCTCCATGTACGGGAACGCATTAAATTAATTCCCTTCCATTGTTTAATGCGATTAAAGGTGTAAATAAAACTCAATTCAATAAAATTTCATTCCCTATAATCTGATCGATATCGGATCCCCTCACGTTAAACATTGTATAATGTAAACGAGAAATTTAAAAAACGAGTAAGAAGACAATGAGCTTTTAGAATCATACAAGGGAATATTTTCTGCTATTTCTGTAAAAGGAAAAACATTGAAGTAATTCCTGTCGGCCCATGTGCAGCAATTAATTTATACTATCCGCTGACTCATAATGAAATCACGTCAAACTTCAAGCACAATTCAAAATTCTATTAACACCGACGTGCATATGACGCGCGCGCGATACATACACACGCACCATCTTGCTCGCATGCATCAAACATTATAGTAAAGTGTTATGGCGCAGCGAGTGATGAAAATGATCACCTATCAGGCCACCATCCGATTTTTTTCAACTCTCGATTATCATGTTATTCTATCTGATCTAGAAAGACGCCTAATTACGCAACGTTCTCGACTGCGTGTACGTAGATGAGAAGAAAGTCCGTGGTGAACGCTAATTAGGCTAGGGATCGATTTGGTTGTGCATGCCGTCTTTCTCAAGTAGTACAAACGTATGTATAGAACGACGTACGTGACACAGAACCGGTCTCGCGGGTGAGATATCACTATGTCACGCCGCCGCCGCCGCCGCCGCCGCGCGCGCCGTAACGCTGCCATTGCTTAACTTCGTCGCAGCATAACGGTTCGTCGTCGAATCCATTTAGAAGTCTGTTTATTTCGCTCGCAACGAGCCGAACGCATCCGAGTGCAAACGGCGCTCGCGAAGTTCTGGGAATTACGTACTGTCACTGATTGAACAACGAATCTGATCCGGATTTATCTATCACGTTTCTTGCCGATTACTGACTGTCTTCTTCGAAAAGCTTAACTCATTCGCGTTGTAGGGAAATTTGTATACGAACATCGAACGACACATTTTGAGATACGCCATACTTGTAATAACAGTTTAACATTTTAAACGCAGTAGGAAGCTTTTAGGTAGAAGACAATTTAGCTGCTAATTGAGAAACACAGGAAAATTAAAGAGGGCGGAACGATGATTGAACGCCATGTTCAATATGGACATAGATACTTTGAGCGCGAAAATTTCTGCTAAATTTGTACACAGTACTCTATGAATAAAGTGGGGTAATTTATTTGGCATCGTTGGTATATGTATAGCGAATTAAGTACTACGACGTGCACGAGCTGTGTTTCCTTGCATTATTGAAAATTGTTTGACCATCAAAGGAATCCATTAGCGGCACTGAAGCATTAGGTATACCCATTTCGTGAGATATTTCATTTTCGCGTTCTCGCCGTGGAAATTCCTCTCGTGATATTCAGAAACGCATTCGTGTCCATTACACGCGTTCTATTCGAGGCGTTCTAATATGATTATAGAATTGTCCTTTGGTAAAAGTCCATTAATACATTTTCGTACAATTCCTTTCTAAATCAATCTCAGGGCACAGCTATATCATTCAAATGAAGGAATGTGTTATGAAAATACTACAAGCTTACGTTTCAAATTTCTCCATAAAATTGCCATTATTGTCTCCTTTTAATAGTGTTCATAAACGCATTTATCATCTTTCTATCTTGTAATATCTTCCGAGAATTAACTTTGAAAGTCTCCTACACGAACGTGAAAACACAACGGAAGGTATTGAAATAAGAACGGGTTATTAGAGAGGGAGGAAAAAGTATTCCGGCCTTTTAAGATATTGCTTTTAATCTGAACCAAGTTCCTGCCTGTCGTTAAGTATGTACAATGCGAAGAAAAATACGTACCTTTGTCGACGACTGTATAGAAATGATCTGACAATCTGAGAAACTTTCAAACTTGTGAGGGGTAGAAAACTACAGTATGAGAGTGTTATTATTTCCGAACAGTCGCGTAATCGAAAGTTTCAAGCAATCGGCAATTCGACGATTTCCTAAAGAATTGTCTGCAAAAAACAAAGAAAGTAGGTTAATTCGCATTGAGATTCGTTGAATAGTTTTTGTTTTCTGCACCGAAAAAAATTATTAAAAAATATATGTATAAATTACGTAACTCACTCGACGAAGAGGAGAGGGAAGCATCTTTTTAAGAACGTTGACCTGAGATATCTAATATAAGGGATTCTCATTTAAGGAATGACAAAAGCACAGCTAGTACATCTAGGTACCTGTATAATACCATAATGAACCCGAATATCAAAAGCTGTGGCAGCAGAGTAACCTACATTTTGAAGCAGAGTTGGTTTTATCTTCTCGTACCATCATTCTTTAAGGTTTCTTATAGACGAGCGAAAGTCTAGAAAGGGGATGTAGAGGAGGAAAAACGAGTCGGCGGAGGAGAGGGAAATTGCCCTTGTGTCCTGTCCACGTTTCACTCAACCAGTCCCGAGCTTTTGTTAAATAAACTTCCGCTTTTGACGTTTTGCTGCGTGAAACATGGGGATGCAAATATACATATATCCGTCAACTTTTTTTACAGCGACCGTAGCTCGGACGTCAATTTCCTCGAGTCTTTCTTTATACGTCTGGTTTTCGAATGACTATCTCTTCTCACATACCACTGTTGTTAACTTCTCTAAGTATGTACACGCACACAATAGAAGAAAACGATTAAGAGTTCAGGTCTTCGAATTATATGTATATTGCAATAATAATCGGAACATCAAATAGAACTTTTTTATTCATTATAATTATGCGAATTGTACACAAGTTGGTTAAAATTATTTTCAAAAGGAACGAAGTACGTATAATACAATTCTTTAAAAACGTAGTTTTACAAAGGGTTGTTGAATTTTTTTGCTTATTGCATTCGTACGTAATTTTTTGGAGCGTCAAATTCTACTATCACGCTTTTACGTACCTCGGTCTCGTTTCGGCAACGCTAATGTGAAAACAGCAAGTACGATTGACAAATCAAAGTTAACGGTCAATGGTTGACATTTGGTCTGGTCCTTCTTCCTACAGCTTCATGTACATGTCACCTAGTTTGCAAATACGTATACGTATGTACGCCCCTGCGAACTTGCCGCTCCTTTACAAGGAACTCTGTTAACAGAGATCTGTTCCGATAAACAAGTATGAGCTTAACGCTCGGGGCTGGTTAGGTAGTATCGGGAAATTTATCATCAACCGGAGAGGAACACGGGGATGAATTCTGGGAAAAGGGACGCGAATTTTGTTTAGAATTGCCGTTGGACCGGGAGCAGCACATTTGCAGCCTCAGTTTTAAGAGAATCTGCTTAATCCCGTAATCTGATAGCGCGCCACGTGAATGGGAGAGGTTTTATTACCGGGCAAGGAATTCAATTTTTGAATGCAAATTGCAGGGGATGTTTTGCGTCGAATGTAATAAAATCGACGAACTATTTCGAGGACAATCTTAATAAAAGAAGATGTACAAAGATGTAAAAGATGTGAACGGAAAGCTTCGATTTTAATACTCGCGTTATGAAGGTGCCAATGGATCTATCTTCTAGACTCTAGACAATGCAAATATAAAACTTTACAAAAGATGGCAAAATGATCTCCGTCAAATAAAGAGTTGTTATTCATAAGAGTTGATGCTCTTTTAGCAGAGTAATGTTTCATGTGAACATACGTCACTGACACCGTGATACTTTATGTGTAATATTGTACTTTATGTATCATACACATTGTACTTATTTTAGGGAATACACAAGAAACAGTACTTCGTGACATCAAACATGCAGGACAATTAATTGAGGTCATTAATCGTACACGAGATGCTTTTTTTACAGGGAGCCGGATCAAGAACAGATTTAACGGAACACAAACGGAAACAAGTTTCCACGCGGAAACAACAAATCGACAGTATCTGCTGATCCCTTCGCGTCGGCGAGCCTGGCCGAGGCGAGCGAGCGGGTATTCAGCCAAGCAGCCAGCCAGGCAAGTAGGGCAGAGGGTACAGGTTTTCGTTTGCGGTTGAAAGAGCTGGCAGTAAAGAGAAAAAGCCGCTCTCTCTCGCGGTAGGTTGAGAGGGGTTGAAAATTCGCGCAGGCGTTTCCACCACCCTCCATATCGTGGCGCCTCGGTAACCCCTCGCGACGGTTCACCCCGCCATCCACCCCCAACGTTCCAGCCGCCCCTCGCCACCGAGAAACGACGGCTCGGCGCTGCTCGTTGCGCCTCGGTCAATCCGCGACTAGTATGGCGCTACGCGCTCAGACACGGCACCGTACGTAGCGTGCTTGTCAATCGACGGCCGATCGTGCATCGCGATTATAGAGCCGAGAAACGGGGTTGACGCGCGCGAATCGTAGCGCGCTCGAAAGGTATTTCACTAATTGATATTAATCGCGAGCTGTGTTCAGGAGCGGAAGAGGGAAACGAGTTTCTCGGAGTGAAAGAAAGGAAAGGCAACTAGTTTTCCCATCACACAAATTGTTTCCGTTCAATGAGAATTTTGAGCAACGAAGGAAAAAACGCGCGCTCCAGAGAGTAAGGTCGGAGAGGGTGATAGTGGCTAGTTAGGGGTTGCTGGCATGTAACCGCGTGCACCGCCGGTGACGAGATCGCATAAAACGCCGGGTGGTAACTGCTGATTACGTTGCGGTGAGGGCAGACTTGCGATAAGCGCGCGGTAGCAGTCAGTAATAAGTGAAATGATAGCGTCGCTAACCACGAGGATTTCGAATGGCAACCGGGACAGATATCTTGTTCGGTACGAGTACTAAGGCGATGCGAATGGATCAAGCACGACGACCAGACAGATTAGAAGGGAATAAACGCTGGACTTGCTTGTCTAATAGTTAAAACGATCAACGGTAAACAAAATTGGACAGAGTGGAGAGGCAGTAGCAAACGAGGAAACAAGAGAATAACAAGAGTTTACATTGAAAACAATTGATCTGTGCTTCGTCACATATGACAAGCATAAAAACCATTAAGACAAATCATGTCATTTTAATCCGACTCAACGATCGGGCGATCCTCGCGTAATAGAATTTCAGTATCACGAATCGCTGTGAGCGATCAGGTGGACTGCCTACCGACCACAACATGGCATGTCCTTTCTCACGGAATTTACTGAGGGCTAGACGCGATGAGCAGAGCGACAGGGAAGACAATGGTCGTCCGAGGATCGCTAGACTAGGACACAGTGACGGCGGCAAATCCAGGCAATCATCCTTCGATGTGTCGTCGTTGAACGAGGAAATCGAAGATACGCAGACCCTAAATCTGAAGCACTTGAGGACTGCTGTGCTCATGCTGACAAACCCATCGGTATCGTACTCATGTATTTTTGTTTTATGCTTTTCTTCGCATAGCAGTGAACAAACGAGAACGAAATCACGCGCGGAACGCACACTTATGTAGAAGTCACGCGATCGTATTTCTCGTTTCGGAAACGAGAAGACAGCGGGACCAGAGAAAGTTGTAGAGTATAGAGAAATACGGAGATAAAAGTTTGATCTAGGTTTAGGGTGAACACGAGGGGTTGGAAATTTATGCGTCTTCCTCGCCCGACGAGTTCGACTTTCGATCAATTTTTTATAAAACACGGGAATTCAATTTCCTCTGTCTTCTTTTCTTTGTTTCTCAGTCCCGCGCGCAATTATTACACTGAAAGCACACGATCCATGCGGGTTACAAGGGCTATCATGCGGGATTTGTAGTAGACTGTAGGATAAGCTGTAGGATAATACAATTCGTTAATCGAAGTAAAAAAATCCTGGATAACGTACAGTGATTCCAGTTGACAGTTTTTAAAAATGAGCACTTTCCATCCTGCCTCTTTTAATGAGATACAAATAATTACTGTGATATTATATAATTTTTGAAAACAAAGTGTTAGGTTTGCAAAAAGCATGCATCGTTCAAAATTGGCCAATAAAAATGTCTCTTTGTAATTTGCTGTATGAACCACAAAATTACACTTTCAAATAAATGAAAGTAAAGTGGAAATGCAAAATATCAAGTTTCAAATTATTTTGTTAACTGATCATTCCAGGATTGTTATGATTGTAACTTGATATTATGGTAGTACACAATATGCTATACTTCCATCTTCTTCTTTTTATTATTTATCATTTGAACGAAGAGTACATCATACCAGTTAGACAGAAACGCGCTGTACGTCTCATATGAATAAACTTTTTATTATCTCTTTAGATAAATGAATAGTCCTAATTTCTTTGCAACATGAATTTCACATCATAAATTATTCAATTTGACGAACGTGGAATTAAATGTAGGCGTCCCAGTAATAAACTTTAACATCACCCAATCGGATTCAATCTCACGTTTAATTGTAGGTGACATTTGCATGCAATAATGATAAATAAAATATGCGAAATGTATTACTATGCATGACATCAAAAGTAACTGATACATATACGAAAATGAATCGATGTTCTGCAAAAATATGATTTATTACACGCTTACTTACGAATGTTCTTCTATCAGTATTTCGTTATTCTTTTAAATTATCTCTATCAATGAATGAAAGTGTCCGATGAAATTCACAATAGCGAAGCAAAATATTTTATTTTCTTCTTACGCTTATCATCTACTTTGCACATATTTCACGAGAGGAGAATAATGGCCGGAATGGACTGTTTTTCCGTATGTTTCTAGCAATCATCTGATCGCGGAGTGGCAGGGAACCGTTTCGTTAGCAGTTCGTGTAACCGTTTCGTTATTAAACGCGATAACATCGCCAAGATCGTTTGGGAGAAATACGACTGGCATCTCGCTTGTAATACAAATTAGAATTCTTCCTGGGGAATTGGGTCGGAAGTGTGCAATGAACGTGTACGGTGGCCTCTTGCCGCTTTGCCACCAGCCGCGAAACCGTCGCCGAAGTTATCTATCGTCGCACGATGAGATGCACTCCTGTGTGGCGCGGCGTCGATTAATAATAATTGTCGACGTTTTATGAAAATCTTTGTGTGGCGCGTAGGCGAAAAAACTGACGCAACATTTCGCGAGTTTATCCCAGCTTGAATGATCGATGAGCTCGCTATCGACAGATTTCTCTAATGCACTCACGTTGTTAAATGATTTTCTGTCGAATGAATTCAAAGAAACACTCGTGGGAGTGGTCTCCTTGATATAAAGATTGTTCATACCGTTATTACACAAATAAGAACGATCAGGAACGTACGTGTCTTAATCTCACGCACAGAAGTCTCGAAATGTCCACTCGATTATTAAGACATTTATCATCGTTCAAAGTTGAACGTAATAAATGTAGCACTCGCTACAAGCTTAGGAAAAAAAAGAGGCATCCTCGTTCGAGTTCTTCCTTCCTTTACCCGTGTCATGGAACTCCCATTAGTTCAGGACGCATCAATCGAGTAAGGAATCGATCCACTCCCGCTCCAGGAAGTCTCGAATAATGCTGCAGCATTTAACATTCGTGAACCCGTCAGTGCCTCGTCTCTGTGTTTAGAGGAAGCGGTGAGTAATGTGAGCTAACGCGTAATATGAATTTCAAATCACAGCCGTCGAGTCGTCCCGTTAGCCAAAATCGTGCACACTGTCCCATACGTACGTTTCAGGTTACAGGCACTTAATTTGAGATCCGATACCTCGGAACTCTGCCTCCAGTAAAATTTCCATTTCGCGTGTTCAAGTTTGCATTGGCTGACTAAAGAGACATTCATGTCCATGCGCGTCCGTCCGCCTGTAATTAACGTGGTTCAGCTGACGTTTTTCACGCGTACGTAATATTAAAGCAATTTCAGAAGAAGAGATTATCGGTCCATGTTCAATTTTGTTTGGATTAAAAAAAATATAAAAAATAAAAAGTATTCAATATTGTTATTCTATAAATTCTTATAAAAGAAAAAAATGTTACTAGGAATTAATTAATAAATAATGATGGTGATCAAATTTTAGTTCTTTGTTTCTTTGTAAACTTATAATTTAAAATGGTCAATTAGTTATGCGGTGAACCGATCCATTTCTTTCAGGTATGCTCGTTAACGCTCGTTTTACGGAAATGGAATTCACGTTCTCAAGTTGTTATATAAACGCGAATGCACAATGCGCTAATGCGTTCGATTGTAGGGATCTCCTGTGTATTCGACGATTTAACCAGTAAAAGAGGTTGCGAAAAGACTCCCGTTTTCTTTTACTTTGATTATCTTCTATTATGGTTGTGAAACAAATTTTCAGAACAATTCCTCGGCTCGATTGCTTTCTTGCCAAGAGTCTCGTTTAACAGATAAATTATAATTAGATGCTTTATAATCATTTTATTAATATAAGTTTCAAAGAGAGAGAGAGAGAGATTGAATTTCATATCATTTAACTCGGCAGAAGTTTGTAATAGAATTATAATTGCATTACAGAGGTAGTAACAAGTTCATAAAGTAATGTAATGGAGATCATTCGGAAACACTTAAAAAAAATTCATTCAAAAGATAATTAAACGAGGAATATAAACATAAATTCAAGTTGCACACAGAAATCAAAGAAGAAGACGTAAATAAGAACAAGTAGTTTCTTCAGCTATTCGAAACAATTGAGTCTTGCCAGTGTTACAAACGCAATTTATTAACAAGTCTTTGAATGACTTTCAAGTAATTAACACCAGAAAAATTACAGAAAAGGAGAGATCAGAATGGTAACCTCTTGAACGAGTATCCGTGATACCAACGAGACCAATTGAACATGGAATGCAATATCAAGCTTATTTCCAATACTCTTTCTGAACTCTGTGTAATCTAGCCAGTTTCCCGCGATCTCCTAGACGAAATTTACTCGGAGCGAGGGTCAAAGAAATTCGATGAAAGGAAATAAAATTGTTCTTCGTTTAACGACGCTTCATAGGCGTAACCTGTTGAACTCGAGGACACTTTATTGGCATAAACATCAATGGTAATCACGGCGATTCTTAGCTTTCGTTTCCTTCCTGTAACTCGGAGTGCGCCGCATCGAACGAATAATACAGCTTCGTGCAGGTTACACAGTTAAGACCGTTTGCGTTTTTAACAACGATCGCGACTTTAAATAATCGCGATGTAAGTATTTCCCAAGAAATGATATAATGATTTCATCGTGATTTTGCTCGTTGGTTAATTCGCGTTTCGCTCTAGTCAGTTTCGTGTGAGCGATACGGGACACGCGAGTCCCATCGAAACGGAGTTGGACAGTACTCATCGATACCTATCGAGGACGAACGGTGAAATTGCTGCGAAAGGGTTTTCTCCGTCGAAAATTGTTATCGAGGGACTGCTTTTTCATCCAAATGTTTTGTACAGATATTGAAACAGTATTTGCAACAAGGTTAAAAAAACAACGACAACCAAGGTGGACAAGTATTGATAGAGTTTTATTTTCTCTTATTTGAAATTAATTGGTTTTCATTTTAAACCAATGTGAACAATTTTTTCGCAGCACACAGTAGAATACGTATACAATATCTAAAATGGATTTCACAAATAACACGAAACGAAATTGATTCATTACAAGTTCAAGCAAAACTATTATATATTCCACATCGACAAATGTACACGCCAAAGTTTTTCGTTTCAATCGAAGGTGTTCTACAGATTTTGATTAAGTATTATTAACAATAAATGTAACTAAGGATTACAAAGTTTACACTAGAGAATTGGAATCGATGAAAGGCGTATTTATCTGACAATCGGATGTTCAATTTCCAGAGCTTTAAATTTTCCGGATATCAAATTCGGCCCATTGTAATTCCATTTAGCCGCTTTCTACGTTGTTTTATTAACTTTTTCCGTCTCGGTCAGGCCACTCGTGCTTGTAACCCAGAATGTACTTCTGGATGGTAACTATGTAGCAGTGTTTGAGAGCAAACAATAGTTTGAATCGCGAGCGATGGCACAAAAAGACGCGGTGCACTCTGGATAAATAACGCCGTAGATTTCAATCATGTGAAGTAAATGAGCCTTTAAAACTAGTTTTTGTGTGCCATTAATTGGTTCGGTGGTATTTCATAGTTGGAAATATATTGGCCGTATATCGTTACTCTCTCCCTTATACGTCGTCCTGGCTCGTAAAAAAATGAAGGTAAATTTAATTTCATTTTATTAGTAGATACATTTCTACATCCCACGTTTAACATTCAAACACCACTTATTCTTTCAAACATTCTGCGGAAGCCAGGAACTAAGGAAGATAAATCATTCCTGTCCTGTTTAATTTTAAGTGAAAAACAATTTCAGTTTAATACCGACAATTTGTTGCCCGTAACACGTTAGCAAAGAGATAATTTAAAGTAGAACAATTGTGCTTTTTACATTTAC